GGGGGGGGGGGGGGGGGGGGGGAGTCAACGGCCAAGTCCAGTCCTAGGGGTTGCCCTGGTTGTGGGTCCAAATGGCTTCAAGCACAATTCAGGAAGCAGATGGAAAAGCATTTCCCTACACAGCAGTACAGCGCATGTGTGTGTGTGATAAAAGATGAAATATTAAACTTGAATGTAAATTCAAAATGTTCGGGGAAATGGTGCGCGGCTCTTGTCCGCCTCCGGTAGGCGGCGCTGCGCGTTTTCCCTCCCGTTTATGTGTCGCTCGACCTCCAGCTTCCTGTTTGGGAAAGAAAAAGCTCGGTGTGAAGGAGCGATGGCGACGTTGGGGTTTCAGACCCCTCGCAGCGGGAGGAGTAGGATGGGTGCAAGCGAGAACATCGTGTCCAGGATACGGCACGGTCAGATCACCGGCCGAGGCATGAGCAGGGGAACGCAGGTAAGGCGAGGCGCCGGGGGAAAGAAGGACGGACGTCGGGCCGAGGAGCCCTGGGTCTGGCCGAGCGACCATGGCTGCCCATGGAGGCCAAGACAGATACTAATCGAGTTTCACAGAAACCACTAAAATAGGTATTTAGCCAGCTGGTCGCCCACAGTTTGTAATATTAATACGGAACTAGCTAATGGTCTCGTTTCGTGTTGACTGGCTTAACTCAGTAAGCGTTGTGTACATCGGGTAACTAACAAACACACCTAGATAAGCAACTAGCTAATCTGCATTCTTTTAGATATTCCTTCAATTGACAACCGTGTTTGCTGTCCGCTCACGCATTTATAAACGATCGACGTTTGTTGTCTTGATTCTTATATGATTTATGTTAAAAATTTATTATTTTGAATCTCGAGAAGTGTTTTCCTTTTTGGTTATGTTAAATAGTAAGCGGTAAGGTGGAAGTATCACCTTAACGATACCAGTACGACCTAAGTAACAGCTTTATGAAGGTATCTGCCATGCCTTTTACAGCCGTGGTGTTAGTTATAAGCAGGTAATCTGAAGAAGCTGCTGTTGAACCCTTAAATGAGATTTTTAACCCGAGGTGGTCCACAAAAATATTGCTTTGTACTGTGATGAATTTGGTAAAATAATTGAGACGTCTATTTGTGAATGATGCAGGTCTGTTAAAAATTGAAAGCAGCTTTAGTGAAACTGCAGCTTTGATTGGTTGCTTAACATTGAAAGTGTATGTTGGGTGGAAGTTTGTTTCGTTACTTTCCTCACAGTGAACTGTTAATGGACACCTCTACTTTTTCTTTGTGGTGAATTTTACTTGGGTGGTGTTTCCCACCTATGGCTTTTAGTAGTTTAAATGGTCATATTAACATATATTTAATCAACATTTATGCTTTAATGTAAATGAGTAATAAGCATGAACTGACCCTGGGAAGCATTACTATATAGAAACTGGTGTTAATGGCCATCTGAACTGAGTAGCCCAGTTTTAACTTAAGGTAACATTCTTCTGAGCACATAGCTGAATAAGGCAATTAAACTTAATAACTTTGCATGTTCAAGCGTCGGATTATATAATACAAAAGTAAAAATTTGAGAATTATATCGTGGCAAGCTTGGTTCCATCTCCATAAGGAAATGTATATTCATAGTGCAGATTAAGTTGGGGAGGTTGAGTGTTAGAATGCTGTAATTTATGTATTAATGTGTTTCTGTGTAAGATCCCAGAAGCTCTGCTCCAAGAGAGGGACAAGCGAGCCAGATGGGTTGGGATCCCGGTCTTGCTACAGAAGCTGTACAAGAGCAGCCACCCCAACAGCGACCTCTCGCAAATCCATGGAGTAGTTAAGGTACATCCCTGGTACCGGTCACCGTGTTTCCTGTGGATCAGGCTGTTTAGCCTGTGTGCAATTTGGCGGTGGGTGGTGATACTGCCATTGTTGTACATGTTTTATTATTGTTATTTAGCGATGGTATGCCCCCCCTCTGTCTGTGGAGGTAAACAATAATTATATGAATTAATATAGGCTAGTTACTTTTCAGTGACAGTAATAATGTTTATCACGGGGGTAGGGAGCTGGATCCGTAGAGGGCCAGTGTGCGTGCCGGTTTTTGGGGTGACCTCTCAATCAGCCAATAATAAAGCAGTGGTTCTCAACTCCAACCCTCTGTTATTGGCTGATTGAGAGGCCATCCCAAAACCCTGCACCCACACCAGCTCTCCATGGATCAGGTTCCCCACCCCTGGTTTAGTGCTGAATAAAGTCCTCATCAGTTTGCCCATCTCCAGTGCTCCAGCTACAATGTAACCACAGCCTTAAGGCACTGCACATAGCCGGATGGTACATGTGACTTAGGTGAACTTAGCAGGTTCGTTGTGGGAAGTAAGTAACACATATTGTGTACTTCCAACATGATGTCAATGTAGTGAATATAGGGGGAGTACCCCCCCCCCCCCCTTCTCAGACACGGTTACCTGTTATGGTTTTGCATTCACACTGGAGTTGTGTCAAAAAATGTCTGCATGGCTTCCCGGGTGACTCAACAAATTTTTGGATTAGGTAATTGATTGGTTGGTTCGATGTTTTTGCCAGTGGAAACCCAGGATCATTTTATCCCCCGATGGACTGACATGTTTTAATTAACCTTACTAGTTCTCTAATTATGTACAGCTTACCTGGTGTGCTTATTTGGTTGGTTGTTTGTTTTGGCTCTCCAGGAGCTGTCATCGTTGCTGTCCATGGAGGCCATGACGTTTGTGACGGAGGACAGGAAGAACACGCAGGAGCTGGCCTCGCCCAACACATACACCTTCGACCTCTTTGGCGGTGTCGATGTGAGCTATAGAGCTTTTGTCGGCTGGTATTGGAAGCGTTATCGATTTGACGTGTGAATTCAGGCCGTACCTTTGAGTAACTATTTGCAATCCGTCTGCTTTGCAGCTGTTGGTGGATATTTTGATGAGGCCAACTCTAACGGCACAGAAGAAGAAACCCAGTAGTGAGTGAAAAATCTGATGCCCCGATCGTCCCTAGACCTGGGAATATTACTGAGACTAGCTAATGATTCACATTGTGTGGAATATGGTATCTTTAATAGGTAATTCACCTTAGTCTTTAGTTCATCTTTCGTAAATTGTTTGACTGAATCTGAATGATTGCTTTACACAGTGAGCGATGACCTGGTCAAGGACTGTCTCAGCGTTCTCTATAATTGCTGCATTTGTGTAAGTACAGTAAAGCCCTGCTGTGTGAATTTCATTACTCATCCCTCGCTCAAGTTGCTTTCCTCATGGCACATATTTCATTTGCCCTCTGTTATTTTCTGAGAATGAAATGTAATTTTTTTTTCCCCCCTTCCAGACGGAAGGGGTCACTAAAAGCCTTGCATCAAGGAACGACTTTGTGCTCTATCTCTTCACACTGATGACAAATAAGAAGACTTTTCTACAGACGGCCACCCTGATCGAGGACATCCTTGGAGTCAAAAAGGTTGGTTTTACCTCAGAAACATTTCCCAGGTTTTGCCTTTCTCCCCATAACTGTTTTTATCTCGTATTTACTGGTGGTAGTTCAGTTTCCGACAAAGGTTCTGCTGTAAGGCAGTGAGCATCGTTAGGATTGATGACTTAGCTTAACACAATTCGCAACACCACCACCCCCCCCCCCCCCAAATCATCAATGAACAAACGTGACCAAGGTAGCAAATTACATTTTTTGTATCTGAAAGTGGCTTTATTGGCCCATGGCGATTGTCAAAGTAGATTAGCTTACTATTACAATGATTTCAAAGTAATCTATATAATTATTAAATATATACAGCCGCGAAAAAAAATTGAGAACACAGCACAATTTTTGTTTGACTCGTTTCTCAATTTATGGGTGTGTCTCTGAATAATATATTTTGCAAACTGCAGCCTGGTTATTCTTGAAGGTCTTCTTCCTTGCTTTATGGGACTTCAGTCCTGCTTCTAGGAACGTGATATGAACTGTCCTAGCAGTACACCTCACAACTGCACTTAATGTATCCCACTACTTTTGAAGGTCATTTTATGTCATCCTCCGATTCATGAGAAACCGTCGTACAAGTTAAGTCATCTCTGGCATTACAGTGTTGCTTCTGCCCTTTACCTGGCTGGTTTCTGGTCGTTCCCAGTGTCTCCTGCTTCACCTTGTTCTTGTGTACTGCTGCCTTAAGAAATTTTGAACCTGGAATGAACCTTCTCCCAGCAGAACTGCGATTAAACCAGGGTTTAAAACTATACAGTGGTCTCAATTTTTTTCATTGCTTTATGTAGATGCCCATCCATTTGCTGTAAATCGCACATGAAGACGAGCCCTCATTTATTCCATTAGTACAGGACCAAGGTAAGCACATATCTGTGTCACAGGAGATGATCCAGCTGGAGGACATTGCTGATTTGCCCAGTCTGGTCCAGAGCTTCGACCAGCAGCAGCTCGCCAACTTCTGCCGCATTTTATCCATCACTATATCGGAGCCTGATCTCGGGAACGATGACAAACACACCCTTCTGGTAAAGAACACCCAGCAGAAGAACATGAGCCCATCCCGTGCTGAGGTCAACCAAGGTAGGGTAGGAGGAGGTGTACCTGAGGTCTAGTCTCTGCGGTAGCTTTCCTGAAGGGCATGCAGTAGGTGAGCCTTCATCGCTCCTTCTTTCCTCTGTTGTAGTCGCTCTGCTCAACATCCCGGGCTTTATCGAGCGGTTATGCAAGCTGGCCACGAGGAAAGTGTCGGAGGCCACTGGCGCGTCCAACTTCCTGCAGGAGCTGGAGGACTGGTATGCCTGGCTGGATAATGCCCTGGTCTTGGATGCACTCATGCAGATGACTACCGAGGAGCACAGCAGCACAGGTGATACATGCATCCCGCCAAAATGCTTGGCAGTGAAGGATACAAAGGCTTGTTTTTGCAAGGGCGCAATGAAGGACTAACGGTTCTACTTCTGTGTCTCTTTCAGAGTCTTCGGATGAGAGCACCTTGGCCACCAGTCCCCTTAGACACCGGCTGCCACAGTCCATGAAGATCGTGCACGAGATCATGTACAAGGTGGAGGTGCTGTATGTGCTCTGTGTGCTGCTCATGGGGCGCCAGAGGACGCAGGTGAGAACATCAGTGGCCTGGAATTTTACTCAAAGCACTACTTTGTAGTTAGTTATACTAACAAAGGTCATTTAGGCCCACACTTCATCTCATAATCTAAGCGCGGTCTTAATCTGTTCTTGGCTGAGTAACATTTGCTAGGAGCCAACAACTGTGTCAAATTCTGACAAGAAACCACAAACTCGGAATGTTGTCAATGCCTGTTGAACCATGAGCATTTGGTGTTGTTTGGTAGCACTGAGGTGATCAAGAAGTAGCTGTGCCGCGAAATGACATCTTTTGAGAAGTTCCTCAGTCTTGGGCACCTTCCCGATAGGTCCACAAGATGTTAGCAGAGTTCCGGCTGATCCCCGGACTCAACAATCTCTTCGACAAGCTCATCTGGAGGAAGCAGACGTCCAACCGTGTTCTACATGGACAGAACCAGAATTGTGACTGTAGCCCAGTAAGCACATCGGTGGTGTTTTGGAACCTAAGGAACTTATTTTGTAACACCCAACACCTTGTTCACGATACCACTCCCCTTATCTTATTCTGTCTAAACAGGAAATTTCCTTCAAAATCCAGTTCTTGAGACTGCTTCAGAGCTTCAGTGACCATCATGAGTGAGTATATTCCTCTAACATACACGGTGTAATACATTAACTGTTCATTTTTAGTCGTGTCGAATTGTGGTAATCTTGTGTTTCAGAAACAAGTACTTGCTTCTAAACAGCCAGGAGCTGAATGAGTTAAGTGCCATCTGTCAGAAAGCCGATATCCCAGAAGTGGAAGCTTTGGCCAACACGGATAGGTATGCAGTCTGGTCGTTGATTGAGGGGTACTGTGATTTTGTTGGGGTGGAGGCCCACACTTAAACTGGGGCTTGCATTTTCTCCAGGAGCCTCGTGTGTGATGGTAAGAAGGGTCTCCTGACACGGCTACTTGGGGTCATGAAAAAGGAACCTCCAGATTCTTCATTCAGGTAAGATCATGTGTGAAGTGTTTGAGTGATCAGTTCCAGCATAGCTGCCATTAGCTTCACCCTACTGAGAAGTATCTTGGGAGTGTCTTTGGCTAATGAGGTGTGCTTGCCTTTATCCATGTATTGAGAAACGTCATAGGGTTCTGTAGATGTTCTTTGGTAAGAAGCGTTTTAAAGGGTTGTCTTCCTTGGTGGTGACAGCTTCAACAATGTAATGCTTCTGTCGGCAGTTGTGATTCCTTTTGTTAGCTGCAGTAGTGTCTCCATGTCATGCTTTCTTCATCTTCAAAGGTTCTGGCAGGCAAGGGCGGTTGAAAGCTTTCTCCGTGGTGCCACCTCCTACGCCGACCAGATCTTCTTGCTTAAGAGGGGCTTGTTGGAGGTTAGTTGAAGGCGGGGTTGAACATTGTACTCTCCTTCATAAGTTTTGTTTAACCGCAATATTCTTTGATCCCCTTTTCTTGTCTAGCACATCTTGTTCTGCATCATTGACAGTGGATGTAAATCCAGAGATGTGCTGCAGAGCTACTTCGACTTGCTGGGGGAGCTGATGAAGTTCAACATTGACGCATTCAAGAGATTCAACAAATACGTCAACACAGAGGAGAAGGTTTGTGTGGCTTCCTGGGGACCCCCAGAATGTTCCACAATCTGACCACTTCCTCTAACCATCGTTCTCCTTCACATATTTTTGTAGAACTCGATAGATCCTGCTCTTCTTTTTCATTACAGTTTCAGATATTTCTGAATCAGATCAACAGTTCATTGGTGGACTCCAACATGCTGGTGCGATGCATCGTCCTATCGCTAGACCGATTTGAAAGCCAAACAGATGATGTCAAAGGTACTGTGAAAGCATAAACCACTGGTTAATGAGATATGAACTTTGAAGCAGTGGATGAAAATGCTAGCTGATCCTGTTGGGCTCAGTGTGCTGAGGGTATCTCTTCTCTGTTACACAGTGGTGGAAGTCCTCTCTGAGTGCTGTCTGCTATCATACATGTCGCACGTGGAGAACAGGTTGTCCCTCCTCTTCAGGCTCATTAACATCATCAATGTGCAGACACTGACGCAGGCAAGTGTAACAACTGTTTGGAAGATTACAGTAAACTGAGATTTGCCAGAGTAACAAAATAGCAAGTTGTTGATTAGTTGTGACACTTTCATTTTTCTTAACACTACAGCATCCATCTTAACTGCTTTGCATATGGATGCATTTTTAACTATTTTAGGACCCTTTATTTCTCATCAGCATAACACTCTATGCCGTTTTTAATCAGACTTAAATTTGACTGCATGTAGTTTCATTTCCGATGTGCGTGTCCAGATTGGTCAGCGTGGTGTTTGAAGGCCGTCAGACTAAAGGGCTCGGCGCTTCCCCGTTTTTTCACCACCAGGAGAACGTGAGCTGTCTGAACACCAGCCTGGTGGTGCTCATGCTGGCCCGGAGGAGAGGCAAGCTTTCCTTCTACCTGAACGCCCTGCGGGAGAAGGAGTACAGCGAGAGGTACCCGGGCTGCCTGCTCAACAACTTCCACCAGCTGCTCCGCTTCTGGCAGCGCCACTACCTCAACAAGGACAAGGACAGCACCTGTCTGGAGAACGTGAGATTTTCTCTTCCCATCCTCCTCCTAACCCTGGGCTGCTGTCTCCTGTTCATCCCTCTAGTGGTTTGTTTGTATATTGCGTGATACCTGCGAGGTGAACCGTGGTGTGATCTGTTTAACTGTAGTCAGTTTAGCTGTCTCCCTGTAACACATGAGCTTCGCTCCTCTGAACATCTCCAGGAGCATCTTTATGGTGGGTCCTTCCTCTTCTGAACTCCAATCTCGTGTTGTGAGGTCAGGAGGTCAGGTCAGGCGGTTGAGTTGAAGAGGGTCGTGAAGGATTTGTTTCGTCTGTCTTCCTCAGAGCTCCTGCATCCCATTCAGCTACTGGAAGGAGACCGTTTCGGTGCTGTTAAGTCCGGACCAGACTTCGCCATGTGCCATATCCAGTTATATCGACGAGGTCTACATGGATCTAGATACGGACTTCCTGGAAGATTGACATCAGCCTCAGTGGGATGCACGAGAGGGGGAGCGTGATGAGGGACGTCCTCTTCCTCGGCCCCGCCCTCGGTAAACTCAACACCGACAGGAAGTTCTCCAGAGAGCCAATCTCGGAAGGACAGCATTCAGGAGTGGCACACATGCATGTGTGTGGGCTAATGTTGGGTTAGCCCACCGCTTCCTGCCGTCCGGGGCGACTCGCTGGAGGGACCTGACCCCAAGGACGGAGATTATTGGTGTAATAAATCAGGGACAAGCAATTCTTTTACGTTGGGGGGGGGGTGGGCTGGGTTGCTTTAGTTCATGTAAGCAGCGCGTGTACATGTAAGGTTTTGCAGCTAATGTAGATATCTCACAAGGGAAAAAAAACAAAAACAAATGTGGAGATGTGGCACATTGTCAGGACTGGGGTGGGGGGAATGACCCAAGGAAGAGGCGCCAAAAATGAGTTGACTGAAATTCTCTATTAGGTGGGTTTTGTCCAAAATAAAAGTGCTCTGCAGTGATATGACCAAAAAGCACATGGCTTTGTTCACACCTATAATGAATGCTGTGTGAAATGTGCATCCCCCCTCCTCTTCACCACACCCTCCCTCTGGCACTCGGGAGAAGCGTAAGCCTTATCCAGGCTTGCCGTCTCCCCGAGGCGGGGGCCCAGACCCCCCAGGGGTCGATCTCGGCCCGTCTCCTGTGACACGCATCCGCAGGTCGTTCACGAGAGAGTCCGCTTTCGGTTCTGGCCCCTTGCAGCCCCGCCTACGTCATTCTGTTGCCTTCAACGGTTTTATTTTAGTCGTATCCTAACCAATTTTTATTTTTTCTTCTCGCTAACTTAAAAATTTGCGCAGTGTGGCATTTGCAGTTGTGATCTTTGTTAATGGTGGTGATTTATGGTAAATTTTGAATCTGTAGAGTGTAGTTAGTGTGAGTCAAAGAGCTATGCAGATTTTACGGCCTTTTATTTCTGAATGGGGCCCTGTTCCCGGCCCTTAGCCACTGCCGGGGATTCGGTTCTCTTCCCCTATAGATTTTCCTTTTCTTCTTTGGTTCTTTTTCCTTTTTTCTCCTAAAGTACCAGGTCACTGCCCTGCTAGCCGGCTGCTTTAAGTCAGTGCGACGCATGTCACCCGTCGTAAGGCAAGGTGAATTGCCACTTAGTGGTGAACTTTATCACTAAACTTGCTATTTTGCTTGCGCCATCTACTGGCGCATCTAAAATTACTAAATTATTTAACAGCTTCAAGCTAAATCATTCTTCCATCTCACATTATCAACATGACTACATTTTATTTTATTTTTTATAACTGGCGTTGCACAGTATCAGCTAAAACATGCATGTCTTTTCATTACATTTAACCCAAACCTGAAGTTCTTCTGGTTACTGTCATTGATTTTTAATTTAATTTCTATTTATTTTTTACTCCTGCGTTCAGTGATCTCGCACCACATGAGTTTACTCAGTTCTCCAAAGTTTGCGCTTAATCAGATGAGGCTGCATTTGCTACACATTACCTTGGGATTCTCACTATCCTAAGACTGAAATCTCTCTGCCCTGTAATATCCTGTCTAATTTAATACCGACATCTTGTCTGGATGTGAGAATGAACTTTTTATTCACGCCACATAAAACATGAATTTTGTCTGGTGCTGGACCAGTGAACGTAATTTCTATAGATCTGGTCTTGGGGGAACAGCGTGTTTTGTGCAAACATACTTAAATCTGAATTGCACATTTCAGAATGTGTGACGCAGATGGAATTTCATCATGTTCTCTTCAGACGTATAGTTTTTAATTCTATAGATTTTTTTTGTGAGAATATGCAGTGTTTATGGTGACTAAGAAATCAATTTTGATGTTACATTGCATTTTGGGAATGTTCATTTAAAAGTAACCGATTTTATGAAATGTATGTCATATGGCAAACTTTAGCGATTAAAATAGTACTGCAAACCAATGTCATTTATACATATCCATTATAACAGTCGAATAGCGATTTGTCAATACAATTTGATTTTTTTTCCCCTCTTTATAAGTATACAGTAGTCTGTAGAATTATTTCAGTAATCACTGGGATTGGTTTCTTTTGTAGCTGTAGATCGGAACATGACCAGCTTTTACCACTGCACTGCTGGTGCTAAACATGTTTATGTATCTCTCACCAGTCTAACTTACTGTAGGTTCCTGGCACTGTGTAAATAAGGTCTGATTTCTGTAATAAACCTTTTTGTGAAGTCCTATGCGCCACAGGGGAAGGAAATAACTCTTAGTCTTTTGCGTGTGAAGTTTCCAGCTGTGTAGATGTTTTTTTTTTTCGTGCGTGAACGAGAGAAAGTGATGGATGGTATGCCTATGGGCCTCTGGTCTGTACCCTGTTATCTGCGCAACACCGCCACCTACTGGTTCCAATTCCAACAGCCCGCCTGTCTCTCTCCTCCTCCAGTTGTGCAAGTTTCCAGATTTTCATTTCACTAATATTGTTTGTAAGCATAAATAAATTATCAGAACTTTATCTCCTAACCTTTTGCTGGGAATGTCTGTGCGGTGTCTGCAATGTCACCTGAGTTAATGTACATTAACACATTTTTTAATACTTAATTTGCGCTGGTATGGTTTTTGAAATACAAGTATGAGATGTTCAAGATAAGGTAAATATGCATCCATTTATATGAAAATAGGTAGGTGATATATGTACGCAAGAGATCTAAAGTTTTGCTTTGTTCAGAAGATCCACGTCCTGTTATAAACCACTCTCTCAACGACGCTGCAGTTCCTCCACGCCAGCTGTAAAACTGTTTGTCACCATTTTGACAAATGCTGCTAAAAATACTTTCACTCTGGCTTTGAACTTATTGTACCTGGTAGATCCATTTACAAAGAATAATCCTAAATTGAGTGAGCTGCTTATAAACTAGCAATTCTTTTATGAGAAGCTCACTGACCCTAATACAGAAACCTTTTGCCCCTAAAATTGCGTGTGTTAACAGCAAGTGAATATAGCAGAGTTGTGTATTTGAAAGATTTCAGTGTAAGGCTCACTTTTATTTGGTTCATTGTGAAATTCCAGGAAGCAAGGTTCACTTCAATATATGAAGGTTACAGGTTATCGAAAGAACCGTTTTTCGATATTGTTTAGGAGGGCGATTTCTCACACTGGAAGTTGCTCGGTGTGTATCACCGTCACGCTTTCGATTGTTGCCGACTGCCTGGTGCTTACGTGCTGGGCCTCTAACCGCGATCTGTGCTGGTGACTCTAAATAAGGTGGGTTTGCCTGCCATTTAATACCGAAGCCCTTTGTGAAACGCGACCCCGCGCTGCGCAGCCAGATATTTCGCCAATGTCGTCATGTAAAATGCAGTCGCCTGAAACAAAGAGGTTGGGGCAGAGCCGGCGGTTATTTTTAATAGCGGCCAAACAGCCGGCGTCGCCGCTCTTAAGAGACACTTGTCACCATCTGCCTCCCCAGACACCGTCTGCACCTCGAGCCGGATCTTTCCGCTGGGATCAGACGCACGTGCGGCACACGTGCGCGGACACACGCCGCGCGCACGATGACGGCATACCTCCCCGCGAGACACACGCGCTCGCCACTCGTGTCGGGTACCGCTGGCCCGAGGAGACTTCTTGGCATCCCGCTCTTTAAGAATGATGTGAGTCACCGCTAATGTCCCCTTCCGTTCTGGTGATGCGTGCCAGCAAAGCAGCGTGACAACAATCCCGGGCAGTCCGTGAACAACGAATGTAAACTTCCAACATCTATGTACAAGTACGACTTCTAATCGTAGATCTAAAATAAAATGACTCCTCTTCCGTCGGCCGACCTATAACTGTTGTTCTATTGTTGTTGTATTTTTAAATTTATTTACTTAGCTGACACTTTTATCCAAAGCGGTGCACATTTTTGAGAAAGCAGGGTCAGCCAAAACCTAGAACAATCTGGGGTTAAGGGCCTTGTTCAAGGACCCAGTGATGAACCCGTTCTGCTCACCCTGGGATTGGAACCAGTGACCTTCCAATCACAGGCAGTGTCCTAATCCTCTGAACCATGTATTACCCCCATATTTGTGCCACACATGCACTCAGAAATTCACTAGTGTAATAGCGGCCTTTTAAAGGATACAGCAGATTGGTGTACATGTGCATATGTACACACAAGCAGGTGAAACTAGTGTGTATAATTTTGTGGACAGAATGGCGTCAAGGTCCATAATCCTGGAAGGGGCCTGTGAGAAAGAGAGAAGAGGACATCTGAAGATGGATGGGCAGGACTGAGAGGAGACTCAGACTTCCACATCGGTGCGTTCATCACCTGAACAACATGGCTTTACATATTTCCTTTCAACACAATCAGAGTCCAGTCTGGTGACCGCCACGTGATTTTACTCTACATCGGTCTTGGTTTCCATGACAATACGGGGACTGCTGAGCTGTCATCCTGCAGAAAAGCAAACTGGTGAATGTTATGAAGACATTATGAGCTACAACTTTGATTTCTTTACTAGCATTGCAAAGATGCTGTCTGTCTTGTCCAAGACCGTATCTTTTTATTTACTTTTCTTTATTACCATGATTCTTTTTCATACAGCATGGTATTTCGAGGAGGCAGTGGGAAAAACCTCCAGAATGTCACCCTGGGTACCTACCTAGTTTCTGTGCTGACGGGAAGCTGTGGAATGAGGAGCTAGCACAGACTTAAAGTGATGTTCATGTGATAACTTTCCTAAACATCACTGCAAGTCTTAACTACCTCCTCCTCAGTATTGGGAGCTGAAAAAAGCATATGGAGAGAAACCAACACTCATCTACAATCACTCACTATATGGCCTAATCGGAACATCTCAAGTGGTCCATATATCAGCTGCTAGACAAGCCCTCAAAGAAGGTCAAAGCTGATTGTAACTGTATGGTAGGGGATTGTCTATCCATTCCTGTTAGATAATTTCATGGGAAAAGACTTATCAAGTGCAGTCATATCAATTACAATCAAGACTTTGAGTTTAACGTCACTGTTACCATGAGAAGACGGATGGATAGTTGGATATGAGTAGGTCCTTCAAAAAATGATTAGAAACATATATATGTCTGTCCGTTTCCATTACTTTCACAATTCTCTCATCTCAATCCTTGCATGTGTTTTAAGTAAATTAGTTTTCATCAAAAGACTAAATCGCGGAAGAATCCTAAGCAAGTATTTCAGTTGCTCATTCCGAGATCCAGATGTAAATCAGCGTCGACCCAATGTGAATCTGAGATTCAATCAGTTGCAAATTTCCCACATTTAATATTAAATAAGTGTCTCATTGTTAAGTTTATCTTTACAAATATAACAGCTCTGTGTCACCTTAATATATTTCAAAGCATCAGATTCCAAAAGGCCTGGAACTCACCTCAGAGTTACTGCGACATGCACTATTAAGATCTCAGGGGTGAGTCCTGATGGTGGCTTTCATGAGGCCTGTGAATTCTGGAAACCTCATTTTTGGTCGTTTCCTAATTAACTGGATCATACCAAAAGTCAATGTAGCCTATTAGAAACAGTCCGTCCCATAGAGCAAAGCCAAAGAGCTTCACACTATGTATCGATTCTTCTGTTACACTTCTCTCAGTGGATGTCATTCTCTGATCCACTGGAAATCGTTTATTTGCAGTTAATAATGTCACCTGTAAATAAATATAAAATAAGACACGCGGTGTCTTTAACCTCCTACGGACTTGCCATCGCATCTTCGCTTCAGCCTTCTCGCAAATTGTCAATGAACGTTGCGTCTTTTCCCTAATTCTGACCATTGTCCCCTGTGAGAAAGAACAAAATTCGATCAGAACCCTTATTTCACATTTCATGACATCCAGAAACTGAAACACGCGTTATTTTCTAACTGCTTAGATGATTTTCTAACCTCGTTTGATGTGCTGCGAAAAAAGTTAATTTATTAAAAAAATCCGTTTTTTCCCCCTTTTTGCGCCGGCAGCCGAGCGCTCTTGCAGGACGCAGGCCGGCCTCTTTACAAACGGGACATGCTCACCGCTCCGGACCACGGGAAGCGAGCGGTTCTCTCCAAGTTTTCTGATTCAAAAGAAACGACGCACGCAATTCAATTTATAAACTTTAAATTGCGTGATGCACGTTAAATTATACTCGCATGCCAAAACTCGTGGTTGTTAAACTCAGACATCATCATTTGTTAGTTGCATACAATACAATGAATACGGTCAGTTGTTAAATACATGTATACATAATAACAGCCATAATAATAAAAGCTATATGCGGGATAGATGCAGTGCATGTCATGGTGAGTGCGCACCAACCTTAGCCGTAGTGCACAGTCTGGGTCGATGGAGGGCTTCTTTTATTGTGTCCCTCAAGGTCAGGGTTTGAGGAGTTATGTCAGAAATCCCCATGTGTCCCCCTCCTCGGCGGGCCATTGGTGAGCAGCGCGTGCCTGAGCCGACACAAAAGGCAAACTGCGTTTTTATCTCGGCGCAAACTTAAGCCGGTTATTTTTATAACGGCGCTGTATTGTGGTAGGGATAACGGCTATCGGGAGGGCTCTGTCTTTTTATGTAAAGTGCTTTTTTTTTCTGGGACCAGTAGTTTCTGTGTCTGGTGCATCTTTACTCCTAAGATTACATTTCGGAATTTGATATGAACCATCAAGCATATCTGATTGTGCGTATTGTTTTATTGTCTGTTTATTATTTTAAAAACAAACTGTATCGTCCCCTAATAAATTTAATCGCGCGTTTCTTCTGTAGGACTACCTAGTGCTTAATACTTATGCTATATGTTCTAGCTTCCTCCTAATATAAGCATCCTGTACTTCAAGTGTGTGCAGTAGTACTGTGCATTCTATTTCTATTAATTTATGACTGATAACTATATGTGGTTATTAAAAAGCGGATATTAATTAACCTCGGTCCTTCGCACTGATTGCGCACGATGACTTTTGCTCGAAACGATCTCACTGCTTGGGCTGATTTGTGCGTCACATCTCTAAACGGTTACAGATCTCTGTGGAAAAAGACAAGCACGTACTTTTGTACCATTAAAACGAGAAATACCATTTTTCGGTATGTTCTTTTTTTGGTTTAATTAACAGCAATGAATCATGTTCTTGCATGGTTACCGTTTTCCTGCATTGTAAATTTTTAGAAACTAGGCCTCAAATTAAAAAATACCGTAAACACTACTTTAGTGGCAAAATACAAAAATGTCAATTCTTTCCTTTTATTTCATCCAGAAGTATCTGCATTTTCTACATTAGAACATTTTGGTGAAAACAAGGACTGGCTGTGGGTCCAGAGAACTGGGGAATACTGGTGTATTTGGTTAAGCAATAGCCTAACAGTACTGGCTACAGGAAACTATACCCAGGACCAAGGGATCAACTTACACTTGCATTAGTGGTGACATCATGTGTGATGTCATTAAAAAGAACAATGACCATAGAGTTCACAATGTATTATGAAGTTTCATCTTCTGTTCCCCTGAGGTGGACAGTAGCCAGTAGCCGTGAAAGCCTTTGCTTGAAGTCAGTTTTGTTTTACTTACAGCACATAGCACAGGATGCCAAAATCACATTCGTTAGTATTTTAAGAAATGACCACTCCCACTTATGCAAATTAGAACCTGTCGAAGCAATGCATTTTTGTACATCCCTCAAAATCACAACTGCTCGGGGAACCAAAGCCGCCTGGCCACAGTTTCCGTCACTTAAGCACCGTCCCGCCGTTCGTCCCCAAGTCATTTGCAAACCGAACCAAAAAAAAAAAATGCGGTAATGGCCAGGAAAATCTATTCCATTCTATTTTCATATTTTCATGAGGTTTTCTGGTTAGCTACTTAGCACATGTCTGTGTCTGTGCAATTATTTAAATCGGGTCCTATGTTTGATTTAGCAGCTCTGTGCGTCCTGACCTTGACAACAAAACAGGAGATAAGCGTCCACAAATGCCTACTGTAGCTCCCAAAATAGACAAGAATAGAAGTCCCTGCCTAATAGCCAACATTCCTAACAGCGATAGGCATCCTGACGGAGTGAAGCTTGCTGTTAAAGAGGTAGGGTGCTTTTCTGGAACAGTGCAAGAATCTCCGTAGCAGTTAAGCATGTCATCAAATGACCATTGAAGTCTTTCTGATCGTCCTCTCGCCCTTATAGAATTCCCTTTTGGGGGCATTTCACGCTTGACAAATCAGAAACGCATTCCCGTCTTATGGAATTCAGTGATACCTTCTAGACTGCCACAGACAAACAAAAGAAGCTCAAAATGAAGTTGAAACGATCTTCATGTTGGTGTAAAACTATGTTATTATGTCTGTCAAAGTGTGTCCGCTTAGACATTTCAAAACCTCTCCAAAAGTGTTCCCAGTGTTTGCCGCAACTGTCCAACAGAGTATTTTTTGACTCGACCACTAACACACCTCGTTTGGCTAATCAATACCCCATTGAGTTATTTGACAAATCAAGTTAATTAATCAATAGAGCTGATGGAGAAATTTAATGAATACATGGAATGGCTGAGGCTACGGAGGGGTTTGGGAACCGAATGGCAGTATATCTAGCCGACATGGTATCAGTGACTTTTTGGAGGAAAGATGAAATTCTTGTTTATTTTTTGTTACTCTTAATTGTTATAATTGTCAAATTTTCAGGGAATTTCCAAATTCCAATTACTACCAAGATCAATAGCTTTAAACATTAACTTTGCCTAAGACTTTTCCACAGTACTGTATTGAATGATTTACTGCAAGTTGGGTGGCTTGGAGAAGCTGGAATTACTTTAGGGGAAAATGGGCAGGTTATCAGTGGTCGTAGATGGAGTTATCAGGCACGGCGGCGTCATGTGTGATAAATGAAGCAGTCAAGGATTGATTAGATATAGACAGTCTGAATCATTGCTATTCTGGGATGACCCTTCACTGGTTGACTGTTGTGTATGGCTTCACAGGCAGGAAGTTTGTCTGATAAAAGCTGTAGAAGAGACTGACCTAATGTAATAATGATCCTTTAAGTTTTTTCTGGATATTTATGACCCATCATCTCTTAAATGAGTTTTGCTTTGTTTACTTACTTATATATGTAAATGTATCACACCTGCACTGGTCTCATCCTGCTGCTTTGATATATCCATATATCAGATCTGTGTTTAGTTACTCAGAAAGAGTTTGAGGTATATTATCTTACAAAAAGGTTGTTTGTAAACTATACTTGGAGAAAACTATCCTTTCTCTTGAATATATTAAAATGCCTAATATGCTGAAATATATATTTTATTATCAACATATGTGCTTTATTGATTACGACAGAGCCTTTGATCGTGTTGACCAAGTCAAACTATGATAAGTGGGTGTACCAGACCATCTTGGCCTTATGACGAATCTCTAAACTGGACAAGAAGCCACTGCCAAAACAGAAAATGGCGACTGGTGAAGACTGGTACATGAGAGAAGGATGCTGTCGTCATTAAAAATGTATGAAGAACCGTGGACACAATATTAAAACATCAACAACCAGCTAAACCTTCACATGAGGCACAAATGAACAAAGTCTAGTGATGCTCTCTTGCTTTGGGCATATTGTGTGAAGATCCAGAGCATTGAAAAAGGATGTTAAATGAGAACAGGGAAGAGGGTGACCAGCAATAGGATTGATGGACATTGGAAAGCCTGAAGAACGGAAGAAAAGACAGAAAGTCATCAGGGAACGCTGCTTATATGGTGGTCAGGAGTCCAAACCTTGAGATTATCTAATTGATAGGTATCCATCATCGCCTATCGGACATCAAAGCCTGGGTATGGGATTTAGCACTTGTATACTGAGAAACAGAGTGAATCCAGAGGTACAAATGTGCAAAGAGCAAACTTGGGAGGACCGAGCCATTCTGGAAGAGCCAAAGATGATATTTAGTGGCTGGTTTTGAGGGAGATACTGATGCTTCTCTCCTCGCCACTCCACACAGTGGGCTATCTGCACCGTGTGAGTCCACACAGTGGGCTATCTGCACCGTGTGAGTCCACACAGTGGGCTATCTGCACTGTGTGAGTCCACACAGTGGGCTATCTGCACCGTGTGAGTCCACACAGTGGGCTATCTGCACCGTGTGAGTCCACACAGTGGGCTATCTGCACCATGAGTCGTGGTACTCAGGCCTGATACGGCACCTTCAGCTGTCTTTCTATTTACGGCCCGTCCAGGCGTACCTCTGACCCAGAACTCTGTTCAAACAATAGACACACGCACATAAATATGGCGGAGTTACGGAGCCGTCAGCCTTCATCCCGCAAACGTCCATCTGCTAGAGCTCACTAAGCTCCGTGCAGACAGACAGCCTTTTAACGCGCCACTCGAAAAGTTTGCCTAACTATTTTTATTTATACCTCTGGCATGAACTTCTGGCTTTTAAATGCCACTGCAAAAAAATGCTCTGGGGGGCTGAATAATAATGCCTGTTAGTGTTGGGGTTTGATGTTGTTATTCCGGATTTTGAAAACTCTTCTATGCCTCATCATTTCTATGGCCATCTCTACCTTGGCTCGCTGGGAGAATCGGACACGGAAGCGGTCGCGACTGTGACTTGGACGTCATTAGGGGACGTGGGGATCCCAAAATGACCCGCGGGGCTGACAGACACCATTAAACGGTGGTTCCATGTGGCCTGCGCCGACTGGCCGTTCCCTCTTGATCTGCGCCAATGGTGGCCGTTCCCTCGGGATCTGCTCATGTCTGGCTTCAAAGTGCCCCGGAATGAGGGCCCGGCGTGTGACCGCAACTTCACGGCTTACATAGAACCCCCCCCCCATCCAGAGACACCTGTCTCCTGTGGCAACTGTTAAAACACAGACACGCGCGCTGTGGAGCAGGCAAAGGCTGGGAAGTGTGGCTGGGTTTGTTTGCGGGCAGCTATACAGGGGCCCGCATGAGATAAGACCAGCGACTCTGAAGGCTGCTCCCTTAAGTGGACGGTGTGCTGGTGGTCAGGGGCCCAGCAGGTGCAGATTCAGGGGCCCAACACTTTAAGGAGGCCCCTCAATACATTACATTACACATAACACGGGTAGAGTTGCCATCCGTCCGGTATATTAAAGGATCATCCTATATCGGGAAACAATATGCTGTGTCCCGTATTGAACAAAACCCCTCCACCCCCATATGTAATTTTTTTTCCATAGGCTACCCCACCCCTCAGATTTTATGGGGGAGACCATTTGTTGGCGTCCTGTATATCTTCTGATTGAAGTTAGCAACCCTAGCAAAAAGGGTCCAAGGTGGTATTTTGTCAAGGGGCCCAGAATTTCTAGCTACGGCACTGTTTGGTGGTGCTTTCGCCGCGTCCTGCGTACTCACAGCGGACTGCAGACCGCAATGCGGATGCGGTACTAGGGAGGCCAGCTGGCGTCTCACTGAGGGCGATGCCTTCTTCCGGGTGTCCCAACCCGGTCCTCAGGGACCCCCCCAGACAGTCCATGTTATTGCTGTCCCCCAGCCCCCTGCCAGGCAGTGCACACTCGGGGGTCCCCAAGAACAGGTTTGAGAAACACTCTCTTAATTCATTTGTGATCCTCTTTCTTCATGAATATCTTTTTTTATATAACTGTGACAGTCTGAAATGCGCACCTGATATACTATCTGCAGGGGGCGCTCTGTTGTGGGCTGTATCTCTGAAACCGGACCCCCCCCCCGGGTTAGTCTTCCTCTCACCCTCACAGAGAGCCGCATGTTCCAGGAGAACAGTGGCGCCCAGGGTCTGGCAGGCCGGCAGCAACCGGCGCAAGAATCCCAGAGCAGGTTGCCCGGCAACGGTCCAAGCACTTGAGCAGCCGTGAGTGCATGTTGGGGGGGGGTGGGTGCAGGGAGCTAGGGGCCACAACCTGCAAGGCTGCATTCCAGCCAACAGGCCACCGGGCTTTCAGAAGCTTAGCAGCCCATTGGTGTAAGTCATAAACACACACACACACACAGGTGAATAAACACACACACAGGTTAACAAACACACACAGGCGAACAAACACACATATAATTATCTGCAAATATACACACAGCCCCTCCCCAGTTCACGACTGAGTTATTTTCCGACAAACCTATCATAAGGTGAAAGTATTGTAAGGAGAAAATGCTTTTTATACAGTGAAACCTAACCAAACAAACATCGTAGCTTAGCCTGCCCTACATGCTTAAAACATTTACATTATAGAAAAAGAGCTCAATATCTCATGTAATTTATTGAACAATGTACTGAAACTGAAAAACGTTTACCCATTGTAAGGTCGCAACATTGTAACGGGGACCATCATAAATTTTAATTACATAAATATATAAATATACATGTAAATATATGAGTCTTTACAGATTTTCATTATAACAGATATTTCTATTAATTATTTTAGAATTCTACTGTATCTATTTTTCTATGTACTTTTTCTTTATACAATAAGTTGCGTTGTGAATTACACGTGACCTGTGCACTGAAGGTGATGTAATGCGTTTCTAACGGAAAACTAGATCAAAGTGAAAGAATATCTCGCAATGGTGTCGTGGGGGTGAGGAAACATCTCCGGCTCCAATCCCAGGCTCAGCAGAAAGGTTCACGCCGTTGGGCCCTTGATCGAGGCCCTTAACCCGCAGCTGCTCCTAAGAAACTGGCTGAACTTGCTTTCTCAATTGTTTGTCACTTTGGATAATAGAGTCTGAATAAAGAATACGAGTGATAAGGGCAATTATCGGGGGCAACCCTCCCATGGCCCCCTTCCCCCAGCGAGTCTCCCAATCCCAGTCACCTTGGATAAAGGAGGCATCTATAAGCAGCCCTGCAGTCTTGGCATCTCATTCTGAGGCATTAGCAGACAGCAGTCTGGCAGGGCCCAGAGAAACACGATAGATAGCTGTGGTTTCACACTCCGTCTCCCATCACGCATGTCTTCACGCAGCACAGGGCAGAAATACTTTAATCTTCTTCACAGTTTGGCTTTGATTTAATCTCTTTGTTCAGTTTCATTGTTCTTAAATCTCCCCCTATGACTAACCTCCAAACAGCTCTCGACTGCTAGTGCGACAAAAGCTGAAAATCACCACTGAGAAGTCTGGGTATTTTTTAGCTATATTTTTCAGACAACTGGCTGGATTTATTACTGTATATAAAATATATCAGCTGTTATTTTGGAGAAGTATCTTAGGAGATTTTAAAAAATGGATTTGTCTGGGTTGGGGGCCAATATGATATGATTTCATTGGGTCTGAAATCTCTATATGTATACATGATATATTAGTATAAGAGTTTTTATACATCCATACATCTTCCAATCACTCTGGGTTTAGGGATGGGAATTTCAGGCAGAATTACTAGTCGAATTTCCCCAGTTATTATTCAATTAATATTCCATTTACCCTGCCCCCACAACACAGAGAAACATGTATGAAGTATAGATCAAAATATTTATTTCTTTACATAAAAAATGAGATATTACTCTTTGCTGCAAAAGGATAAAATAAACCATTAAGAACTGCCTTGAATAAATTAAATTGAAACTCTGATTGAAATTAAACTGAAGAAATCACTCAAGTGCAGTAGCGTAAATTAAGGTTTAATAGGCTGTTCCTTATTCACCTTATTCCTTATTCAAACTGAGGCATGCAGAGCTCACGCAAAAACAGAGGAGGTAAGCTTCAGAATCAATAAACCACAAAGTTATTCAAGAAGGCATAATCTAAATCTCACCTAATTAAAATAACGAACTAACCCCAACCACATTTTTTTTTTTTTTTTTTTTACAAGTTCTTAATTCAAATACTCGGCAATGTTAACTCATCCCTGTCTGGGTGACAGGGGCCTGGAGCCTGTAAAAGGCAGCACTAGGCACAAGGCTTGGCTGCACGGCGGTCAGAATACCAAACCATCACGGGACATATGCACGATTCAATGGTCGTGGGTGAATCCCATTGGTGTTCAGCTCTGTTAAACCGCTTCCCCTGGAGCCTTACTGTGGATTGTCCATTCCTTGCCATGACTGTCCATAACAGCTAATCAACATGCATTTATCAAAAATGGGATACGCCCAACCACATTTCTTCTCAGATTTATGATGCTGTGGCAGCATAAATAATACAGGCAAAGCATTGGTCAACGGTGCTGAAAAATTAGTTCCGTCAATCTTCTAACCGCTTATCCGGATTAGGGGGCAATAACACAGGCAGCTTTCTCCAGGGAGCATAAGCAAGTACTTTGCGCCCTCTACCGGAGACCTGACCGGAGTATTTTCGGACATGTCTAAAACTTCTCGAATTTCTAGATAGTATACTCACATTTTAAGTGTGTGTAAATTTGAAAAGTCATCACACTGAAGCTATGGTTGATTGTATTTGTAATGTGAGATCGCCATGGACTCCGCGATTAATTTAAGTCAAAATATTGTCTATTTGTTACTTTGCACATTTCATATATCTACCTCATTTTCATATCACACTATACTATACATGCACCCGTCTCCCCTGCAGCTGTAGTGCAATAATTTCACTGTATTTTCCAAGCAATAAAACTTGAAAGATTAACTAAAACAGAGACAGTACAGGATTTAAAACTACCAGAGGCAAAGTCATAAAGGTCTGAATTACAGGTTATAACGGGAGAGAATTAAATACCACCCATCCATTTCCCATGCCTACTTGTCATTAGCCTATCCTGTAGGCAAAGCAGGACGCAAAGCAGGACGCAAAGCAGGGAATTACCCAGTACGGGGTGCCATGCATGGCAAAGAATCTAATTTTATAGTAAATTAAATGCTGCTATATAAACTACAAAGGAGTCCATTATTTTTTTACAAAATAGTGCAAAAGTAAGGGCCACTTTTTCTTTTTAGCAAACCAGGTAGAGCGATTGAAATACGCCCTCTGGCCCGTTTCTGCTCTGCGGACCGATACTTGCGAAAAGGGCGGGTCTGCCTGTTGCTGTTCCGGGCCGCGGCGCTAGGCGGCGCTGGTCACGCCGCAGCAGTAACGCCGATGCATTTCCGGTGTTTCCAAATCGTCACACATGCCCGGTAGTGGCTTTTCTTATTCCGATTCCAGGATGGTCATTTTGAATTTAACGCATTTAATACATTGAATGAAGTGCCCTCACAAGGCAGATTAAAGATCAAATTCTTTTCCAGAAGAGAGAGATAAAAAACAGTAAAATATAATCCCGCCATACAACCGGTGCAGAGGGACGCCGGTAAGTCTCTGACGTGCCTGAAAGTCGTTTTCTTGGAGAATTTTCGTGTACATTATTGATAGATGGTTGTAGGTCACATACCAGTGGTGTTCTGAAAAGTAAATGGGTGTGAAAATTTCCTGAAATGGCATGAAAGATTAGACAGGACCAAAGGAACTCACTGAATTTGGTTTGATGTTTATTGGCTTGGAAATGAAGGAGTTACTGCAATATTGATACACTGTTATATACATATACAAGTGGTGTTTTGGTGACGGCATTGCACTTTTACGACGATCCCCAAGTTTAGCACAGTGTAGCAAAACCACGTGTAAGTCACTTGAGTTGTAACTTATGATTTGTCTGTATTTACAACCCTTAGGGCAAAATACTTAGACTTTTTAGCCATTAGTACTCATGCACGCTCTTACAGATTTGTTTACACATGTACACCTATCAATATACTTCCAAATCTAATTACACATTTACAGATTCCAGTACACATTTACACATCTTAGTAGGCATTTACCAATTCTTCTACACATTTACAAATGTGATTACGTACACACCAATTGAGACAGTCACACAAATACCCAGACACATTTGCAAATAGTTTTGCTACAATAGTTGCCCCACAAAAATCCGCTAACGTCAAGATGAGTGTGCAATTTTGCTCACTGGGAGCCGTATCGCGGCCAAACAGCTTCCTTTGCCCAACGTTGCTGGATTCACGTTTTCACAGCAGCCGAAGGATCAATCAGTGTCATTTTTCATTAACGGTAAGGGTGCAGCGATGCATCTGAACGGTAATGTTGAAACATGAATATTATTGGCGGATACTTTTGTATGTTTATAATCATAGGCGATTCTAGGCTTCTCTTCCAGGGGTTGCGAGGTGAGACTATGAAGGTCCATCGGTAAATTTAGCGTGATTGAAAAGGGGGCGACTTTCAATCGTCCTGTAATACCATGATGTTTTCATATATAGGAAAATAGCTTCTGATGGCGTCCGGATCGATCCCGGAGCAGTTACTGATGAACGATGAGTTGATCCGGAGCTTAATCGAGGTGGCCAAGGACACGGCGCTGCTGCACGGGGTTTTGATGCGAACCACGGAAAGCCCTAATTTCCCAGAGGTAAGTCTTCGTTTTAGTGCCCATATGTGTATTTTGTGTTAAATGCCAAGTTAGAGGGATGCTTTGTCATCAGTCATTGTGCTGGCGGTATCGAGTCAGCCATAGGTAATGTGCATCAGCCCCAGGAACGTGGTTTGCTTTGGCTCCTGTTGTCTGCTGTTCAATTTCTTTGTCATGTGAGATTAGCTGACAGAGCACTGCTGGGTGGGGGTGCTAAACTCAGGGCTATAACAATGTTTTAAAAATACTGCAATCAAAAGTATTAGACCTTCCTAGGGTAGTTTGTGAGCAGATGGGATTAAAGATTGAACACAGGACCCCAGCAGTGACACTGTGAGCCACAGGATGGGTTCTTATAAATACATATAAAATCATGTATATGAAAGTAACATGGTGTTCAATGTCCCCCATAGTTCAATGCTTAAAGCTCATTTAATTGGACATGTCTGTATCGTTTAGGTTTATACTTGTTAGTCCATTAATTCTATCTTTTGTGCTTTAAATGGACACCGTACAACTAAAGTATTAAGAGGGGACGCAAAACTATTGCAAGGGAACTCAAAAGTATTTAAAAAAATATTTTCCCACCCAGACCCCTTAGGGGCTCCATATATTACAGTTGATCTGTAGAAAAAAAAAATCGCAAATGCATCACTTTCCACAAATGTCTTTTTATTTGTGTTGTGTAAAAGCATATCCATAAAAATCGGAGCAATTTGTACATGCAGTAAGGTTTTTGCATATTTGTAGATCTTGTCCTGCCTATTTGTGGATTTGTGAGTGTGATTTGCGGATTTTTGTCCAATTCATACTGAGACTGATTTGTAGAAAAAAAAATCCATAAATAGGAGGTGCAGCTGTGGTTTATATCGTTATCGGGATATGAGATGACATATCGGGATATCATATCGCATAGCCGAATTTCACTTTTAAATTATGGCAGACCAAACAATTCAGAAGCCATGGCCTCTGTGTTCAACCGGATAGTACTGTGCTGCCCAGTGGGTCGCGCCCTACATCCATCTGGATAGGTGGTCCTGTGTGTGTAAGCTTATGACCTGCTTGGCTCCCTAACGTACTGAACAGGGTATAAGCGAAGCTTTTTGCCGCAGGTGGTGACTCACGCGCCATTCACGCTCTTCCCGTCCCCGGTCCCCAAAGGCCTCTTTGAGCAGGCACTTAAAGTCCAGACCCTCTTCAACCAGTTAGTGGACAGAATTAGCCAGGATCCCTGTTTCCTGGAGGAAGCCCTTGCCAGGTATGGCCAGTAATAATTAACACTAAAGAGACTTTCAGGATTAAGAGCAGCTCTTTGATGTTTTGGGCTAGATCATTAATAAAATTAGATGATATATATTACATGTCTTGTGTTTTTGTTTGCACCTCTCACAGAGTCTCATTCTACTGCAGGGGTGTCAAACTCCAGTCCTGGGGGGCCGGAACCCTGTGTAGCTTAGTTCTTTCCCTGTTCCAACACAAATGATTTAACTCAAGAGCTGTGTGATAATTAGTACAAGGAATTGAATCAGGTGTGTTAAATGAGGGGGAAACCTCAAAATATGTGGGGCTTCTGCCCCCCAGGACTGGAGTTTGACACCCCCGTTCTACTGTCATGTACAGTGACAAAGAATTGAATCTTAAATATTGAAAACTCAAATGTGGAGACTGGATAAACATCAGTATTATTTCTGTACTTTAATACAGTTTTACGTTTGTTTCTCCCCAGCACGATCAAAGTAGACAAATTCACGGCAAGGCTGTTCGACATTTACAGACACGTGCTGAAAGAAGGTCGATCACAGGTGAGGAGAAATCAGTGCTTACTTGTCTAACCTTCAGTCACGGTCCTACTTTGGCTAGGGCACCTTCACTTCTCATGCTCTTTTTCTAATTAAATGGCTAAAAAATGATTATTTTGATAATCGATTAATCATGTGACGGGGCGATCAACTAGCCGATTTTGACCACTCAACCAATCCCAGAAGCCAAAACACAGATGCTTCATTTAAAATTCACAGGCACATCCAATCAAATTTGTGCGATAGGCATTGATTGGTGTAAATTGCACAGTGCACTGCACACTTCATCGCACGTATTTAGACCTATACCTGATATAGGGTTATGACTTAGCTGGCATGGTAACAAATGGGTCGCGGTGCAAAAAAGGTTGAGAACTGCTGGTTTAAAGAAAATAAAACAAAACAAACTTGAAGAGGTATTTAAGTCAGTCTCTAAAGTGACAGTCCAGAGAAACACTGTATACGATACTTTGAAATCCTGGTAATAAAATTTGCCGGTGGTGGGGCTCTCATACATAGACTGCAATTATGACAAAATTTATTGTCGACTATTTTTATTACAGATTATTGTCAACATTATCAATTAGTTGTTGCAGCAGCCTTAGGACATTTTCACACCGAGTGACGCTTAGACACAATGACAAGAGATTTTTCCTGAAGAGTTCAAAGTGATTGAATATGCACATTTGGTTCATTCTGCTTTTGACAGCACTCATTAGCAAGTGTCACTGGCCATCTTGTTGTTGAGAGTATTGTGTTTGTCTTCTAAGTCGATTGTCCTGGGCTTGAATCGCTCCGACTACATGGTGGACCAGCGGCCGGATGGGAGTACCTCATTGAAACAGATCGAAATCAACACCATCGCTGCCAGCTTTGGAGGGCTGTCTTCACAAACCCCAGCTGTCCACAGGTGTGAACCATCCCTGGAATGTTCTATACGAGGCCAATCTAGTGCAGGTCTTAGAATTTATTGAATAATTATCCACGAGGAGTTGCTCACCTGTCCGACTGGCTGTTGAACAGGCACATCCTGAAGGTCGCGGGTCTACTGGAGGAGCAGAAGAAGGTCCTGAACAATGACCCAGCAGCAGGGCTGGCTGCTGCTCTAGCCAAGGCCTGGCAATTGTACGGGTCTGAGAGGTGTGTTGTACTAGGGAACCGCTTTGTTCAGTGGTGGGATTAATGTTCAGCATCAGGTGTTTATAGTTAATCTGATTCACTGAGTCGCTTTGTGGAAATTAGAATTAGGTGATCAGTGTTGACACTATATGTGTCCTCTGCATTTAACCCATATGCGACATCGTGACATAGCAGTGGGCAGCTAATTCAGCGCCCGGGGAGCAGCACCTTGCACAGGGTATCTCAGTGTTACCTTGCTGGCCGGGGATTCGAACCAGCAACCTTTAAATTACAAGTGCGCTTCCTTAAGCGTTAAGCCACCACTGCCCATGAAAAACTGAACACTTGTAAAAAGATTCCCTGGTGATATCCATGCTGACAGTTTGTCTCTCGTGCTGAAGGGCTGTGGTTATGTTTCTGGTTGAGGATGTCCAGACGAATATCTATGATCATCGATATATAGAGAACGAGTTGTGGAGGAGGTGAGGCACCTTCATCGTCGCTAAAAATCGAAACGTGAATTCATTCTAGTTAATTGGTACTGTGGTTGTGAGACATGGGGCAGCTTTTGGAATATAATGGAGATATTGCTTAAGTTTCCCGTCTGTTTTTGTCCCCCCTACTATGTGCAGGAACATTCCAGTCATACGGCGGAGGTTCGATGATGTGTTTGACACCGGATCACTAGATTCGGACAAACGACTGTTTGTGTATGTATGCTATCAATATCCATCCATCCAGATCATAGGGTGATGGAAATATCAGTACCTGTAATCTGTCATAAGCTATATGGTTAAGTCTGATGTGGTTAACCCCATAATTTTTGTTGTAATCCCATATATTTTGGTTGGTGAATCCTTCTGTTGCTACGTCTTTGCAGGGGCAGTCAGGAGGTTGCGATCGTTTATTTCCGCAATGGCTACATGCCTCAGAACTACACAGAACAGGTATGAACATTTCACATTTAAGAGTGTCTGTCCTCTAGACAAAAAAATCATTGCTACCTTCAATGCAAAACCACATCATGCCCTCTTTGCGATAGAAATCCTTGACAACTAACTGATTGCAAAGTTGGTAATTAGGTAAAAGGAGATCTTCCTGCAGCAGGTTGGGTGTTGGGTTGGGTGTTGTGCGTGTTGGAGTTCTCTGGTTGCAGCCCAGTGTCTTTTTGCAGAGCTGGGAGGCACGGCTCATGATGGAGCGTTCCAAGGCTGTTAAATGCCCAGACATAAGCACCCACCTGGCCGGCACCAAGAAGGTCCAGCAGGTACTGACCCAGCCTGGAGTTCTGGAGAAGTTCTTTCCTGATGACCCAGAGGCTGTCACCCAAATCCGAGCTACCTTTGCAGGCCTGTATACCCTGGACATGGTGAGTTAACAGAACCGGGCTCCATCGTTTTAAGGTCAGAATGTCACACTTAAGGTCCCATAAAGGTTCTCATCCTGCCCACAAGATGGTTAGATTAGAATATGGACACGCCGATTTGAAAAATACTGCGTTAGTTTTAGAACTGTAAGAACAAATGTTATTCTTAGTTTTTCCCCTAGGGGGAGCTGAATAGCTTGCGAGGGCAACTGAGAACAGGCAAAATAAACAAATTAGTGGTGGCTATAACTTTATATAAGTTGTACAGAAATGGTTCTCATATCATTTTAAAGCTCTTTTCCAGCTCTATATTTTGCGGACATACTATGCTATCCCCAGAATGAAAAATTACCATGTTATGAGTGATTATAATATAAAAAATTGAATGGCAAAAAAACCTATATTTGAAATTAGTCTTTTTTTTTTTTTTTTTTTTTTTGCTAAAGCTAGCTTATGTCATGAACATCTCCAGAAAATTTGGTCTCTGGCTTTTGAGTCGTTGCCGAGATATCATGGCTTATAGGTGGCATCACATGGTTTCACCAGAGATATAACCAGTCAAAGTCATACCCCCCCAAGTTGTTAGCTTAAATGTCCCTTAATACTGATCCAAGACGCATGCAATTTCAGTTCCATGGGTTACTCATATGACCAGGTCAGCATGCCAAGCTGATGATGACATCCAAAAGTGTGATGATTTGACACGGAATTAGTAGAACATACTCTGATGGTTTGTGACAACATGCGTAAAGCTGTCTTCCCAGTGCTTTCTTAAATAGTCACTTTTGCAATTTCTGTCACCATGATGCATGGTGATTTCTGACCCGAGTCTGTTATCTTCTGGCCAAGCACCGTCTGTCAGCTGTAGCATGTTACTAAGTACCACCGTGGTTTGGTTCTTTGTCAAGTGCTTTGAGTATAATCATGCTGGAAGAGGAACTGAGTAAATTGCTCATAGTGTATGATTGTCTGAACCCTACACTGGATTTGCATGCCATCCAGAAAGTCCTAGTGCCTTCTGCTGCCTATTATAGGATCCAATTCATCCCTTATCACCATAACCCTGTAGTACAGTGTTTCCCAACCCAGTCCTCGGGGTCCCCCAGACAGTCCACGTTTTTGCTTCCTCCCAGCTTATTATTAAACTATCTATCCTTACACGTGCCAGGTATTCAAGGTTCCTGATTGGCTGGGAGCTGGGAGGGAGCAAAAATGTGGACTGTCTGTGGATCCCCGAGGACCGGGTTGGGAAACACTGCTGTAGTAGGATATCAGGTTACAGGAAATGGAGGCATGTTCCTATAACTAGCAAGTAAATGGATGTTCATGTTAATGGTTAATGTTCAGGGTGCAGAGGGAGAGAAGACGGTGGCCATGGCCTTGGAGAAGCCTGACCAGTTTGTCCTGAAACCACAAAGAGAGGGTGGAGGTAAGACTGTTATTTTCCAAATGCTCGCACCTTCACTTCTCATGCTCTTTTTCTAATTAAATGGCTAATGAGGCAATTTCATCAACAGGAAATAACGTCTATGGTGCAGATATCTGCCGGGTGTTGGAGAAGGTAAAGGGTGGATCGGAGAGGATGGCCTATATCCTAATGGATAAGATTTTCCCACAGCCAGTCCAGAACTACCTACTGCGACAGGGCACCCCAGTGAAACTCAGTACCTGTATAAGTGAACTTGGTGCCTTTGGAGCCTATGTCAGGTAAATCCTGCTCTCATTGTGGTTCTTCCTGAAAGACTCTTTGCATGCAATGGCCTTAGCATTAGCATTGGCCTTAGCATTAGCATTGGCCTTAGCATTAGCATTGGTCTTAGCATCTGGCGTGTTTCCACTGCATCATAGTTTAAGGCCTTATCTTAGTTTAGGTGACTGACATTCCTCTTGCAAGTTGTTTTGCTGAGCGTCTGAAGAGTATGGGTGTGACCCTCAGTCATCACATTCAACCAGTGCTCCGCCCAGGACTGTAAAGCTCTGTAGAGGGTGGGACGTTTGGCTAAATGCATCTGTAGGGCTGATCCGCCCTCCCTGTAGGACATACACCTCAGAGCATGCAGGAGCAGAGCTGCCAAGGTCTGCAGGGACAAAACCCACCCTAACAACTACCTCCTTACCAGGCTGAGGTCTGGAAAGCGCTTCTGCTGTCTCTATGAGAACTGAGGCTCAGAAGGAGCTTCCGCCCTCAGACAGTTAGACTGCTTAGTGCCTAATTGACACTTATTATTAAACTATCTATTTATGCACCTCATGTCTTATTTGATCTGTGGTGCACAACTCTGGTCTTACATTTATTATAGCATGACTTTCCTTATTAATTTTAATGTCTTTGATGTCACTATATTGCATTTCACTGGAGCTTATAGTCTGACTGCATACCTTGCATGTCACATTTATAATACTTGCGTCCTTGAATCCAAAGGCAAGGGACGGAGATGCTGCTGAACGAGTGTGTTGGGCACCTGCTCCGGACCAAGAGCATCGAACACGCGGACGGAGGGGTAGCCGCGGGTGTGGCTGTGCTGGACAATCCTCTTCTATTCTGAGGGTCTTCTACCCAGTGACATACGAAAAGGTTATGGACCAGAAATCACTTGAGGTGCTCTATTGGTGACTTGTGATCAGTGGCATTTTATGGTCGTAGTGGCAAACAAACAAACAATCAAACAAACAAACAAATACATAAATAAACAAACCAATCCGTTTTACTTTGGCCGCCTTAATTAGCTACTGTGGAGCACTATTGGTGCAATTTGAAAATCTGAAAATTGTCATCTTAGAAAGTTTGAATAATTATGAAGAATTTATTAGAGATTTTTATATCAAAATTATTGGTATGTAGGTTATATGATCGGAATTGTGTGATTTATATTTTTTAGAATCCTCACTGAATATATAAAAGCTATTCTACCAATAATGTTGACATAGTTGGCAGATGTTGAATTTTCCCTTGTGATGATGTGTTGAAATATTAATAACTTTTAATAATGAAGTTCCATCATCCTGTCTTGTAAAATCCCACAGTTTTAGAATGTGAGGAAAAAATAAATTATTCTTTAAAGATCTCCTTCTCGTTTGATTTTGTTATGGATCTTTATTCATCCTCAGCTTCAGTTCTGTAACAACATTTGTAACACTTCATTAGCAACTTTCTGTAATTCATTAATAGCAGCTTTTCTGTAAGTCAATAACTATTACATAGCACTGAACAGATTTAGTTCATGTACATTCAAGTACTTATGTTGTCAAATAATTCGTATTAGATCACATATTTTTAAACTTAAATGATTTAAGAAATGCCAACTAAAGTACTTTTCAGTAATGCATTGTGCATGTTCACCACTCAATCATTAATATCTGACTAACTAAATGGACATCCCCACGTGTCAATTCCCCATTTCATTTACCATAAGGTTCTTGTGCATGGGTTATAGAGACTAAAAACCACCAAATTTATAATTTTCTTCTGCTTTGTAAGACAGAATGAAATTAGGCTTGACCTTTACGCACTGAGATGTCTGCATTCTCTAAATCTTTTCACAGTATTATGTACTTTAGGTGTTGCAAGACCTAAATTCTCTGCAATATTGCATTCACGAATGTTCCTTTTCAAGTGACTAACAATTCTCTCACAAATTTTGGCACAAAGGGGTGAGCCACGACCCATCTTTGCTTGCAAAGGCTGAGCCTTTGATGGGACCTCCTTTCACTCAGTCATCATACCTCACCGGCTACCAATTAGCCTGCTTAATGTGGAGTCTTCCAAACCTGTTACTGGAATATTCTGTGCACTTATTTTAACTCTGTCCCAACTTTTGTTGAGAATGTTGTAGCCGTCAAATTCTAATTCTGCATATATTTTCAAAATACGATTAAGTTGGTCAGTACAACTATTCAAAAACAATTTTTTTACTTTTGTCATTTAAATAAAGGTTCCCCGTGAATTAACATATCACTGATTTTTGTTTTTATTGCATTTTAGAAAATATCTCAACTTTTCTGGTAATGGGGTTTGCGTAATGGAGATGCTGCCACCTCCCCCCCCCATTGCATTTTTTCGCCTCGGACAAATTCTCTGATGATAATGGTACCTTCTCATAACCGCATATGTAAACCTGCACACCCTTAAGTCAGTTTCTCATAACAATGTCATTTCTCATTGTTTTTATTAATTTACAAATGATGTAGATTTGGCTCTTCTAACATTAGGTATATTCAGTTTGAATTAGCCCAAAAATCAATTGTGTTAGTCATGTTATCAAAGTGAATTATATGCTTCTCATTTGTTTACTTCTCCTCTGCAAAACATTTAAACTTTCAAAAATGTTGGTTTTTCTTGATTGCTTTCAAACATCTCATGAACCATACTTAGCATTTTCAAGACAGAGCATTTCTCAGAACAATTTATGCATATATAACAGAACTATGGTTTAGCTGCAAAAGCCTGTAATTTACTCAAAACAGTTGCAGTTTTTCATGATTATTTTGATACATTTTATGAAACATACTGAACATTCACAAGACTATAAGAGCATTTTTCAAAACAGTTCATGCATAAAGCACAAGACTGGTTTAGCTGCAAAAGCCAGCAATGTACTCAAAACAATTGCAGTATTTCTTGATTGCTTTGACACATTTTGTGAAGTATACTTAACATTCTCACGACTATAAGAGTATTTCTCAAAACAGTTCATGCATAAAGCACAAGACTGGTTTAGCTGCAAAAGCCAGCAATGTACTCAAAACAATTGCAGTATTTCTTGA